CCCCCCCCCCCCCTTCGGACTTCGAGTAACCGTTGCGCGGGGAGAAAAAGGTAAATTTAATCCACAAAAACACATAATTAAAGGAAAAAATAAAAAAATAAAAAAAAACATGAAATGATTGAAATGGCGTCGTTTTGTTGACCACAGCTAGCTAGCTCAATGGCTTGTGTCTTCAATGGTGGAAATCAAGAGGGGCCATATGGCAGCTGGGATTTTTTTAATTAAAAATAATAATTTATTTTCTATTTTCTGAGTGTGTGGTGGCCCACCATTGATGACTAAAGTCTCCTTCTAATCCTTCTCCCTTTTTGGAATTTATATTTTTTTTTAATAAATTAATTGTTTAAAAAATAAAGATGTAAAATATGTTAATTCTTGAAATATCAATCAATGTCATTTCATGTAAAAAGGTATTGATTTCACAATTATACCAAATATTTGTTTTTTTGTTCCCCTTTTATTAATTACTTTTGTTTTTATTATTTAGAATCATTTTTGAAATGACATCATATATATATATTTATTTTATTTTCTATTTTTCGGTAAATTGAAATGACATGCATTATATACATTATATATATATATATATATATACATCCACAAATTTAAATTAGGAAATGGAAAATAATGAGTGAAAAAAGGTGAAAAAAAAAAAGTAATTCTGAAGAAAAATAATAATTACGAACAGAGAGTTCTAATACTCTGAGACAAATGTTTGCTGCGTTCGTCTGAAGTAACTTAAAAGGCAGAATAAAATAATAATAATAAAATTAAAAAAAAAGAAGAGGAAAATCCTGACTGAAAACACCCTGCCCTAAGAGAGTCCTTAAGTCTTCGGGGGGCAGTGTCCTAAACTTAGACACCCTGCCCTAAACCCCCCACTCTTCTTCTCATTCTTTGTCTTCTTTTGTTTTCGGTGTGTTTTTTTTTTTTTTATACTTAATTTTGGTCTGATTTAGAGAATGATCCTGGATTTATAAGTAACGAATACATCTTCATTAATATAAGATTTTTTAGGGAAAGTCTAAAGTAAAGTCATGAGAACTTATACTAAAAGTGGATAATATCATACTGTTATGGAGAGTCGTGATTTCTAACATAGTATTAGAATCATACCCTTAACTTAATCATGTCAATAACATCTTTAAATGTCGAGCAAAGAAGTTATGAGTCTCGAAGACTCCAGAGAAGGAGTCAAGCCTTGATTAAGGGAGGACTCCATAGGCCTCCGGGGAGTTTTCTAGGATCTATATTTGCACATAATTGAATCTTTTTTATATATATATAAAAAAAAAAAAAACACAATTCTATTTTCTTCATGATTGGAGCGTTAATTCATCCTTCATGGGCTCAACTGAACCAACAGGCTTCACTTGGACTCTAGCTGTACTGGACTTATATTGGGCCACGGCCCAAATTTATTTTTATGTGGACACCGCTAGGCACGTGCCGTGACTTTTATTTATTTATTTATTTTGAAATTTCTAAGGGAAGAAAATTTATCTTAAATGGGAGAGGCTGGGCCTCGAGGCCCCCAGTTTGTTCATCCAACGCTCTGCTTCCAATTCCAATGGCTGCCATCAAAGTCTTGTATCTCTCTCTCCCATTGCTTCTCTGTTTTCTTCACTGTTACGCTCAGAACGGCATCGTTAATTTGAGGTCATCAATCGTTGCTGGGTCGAATCATTTTTGGGTATCTCCCTCCGGCGAGTTTGCTTTTGGGTTCCACGAGATCACCCCTGACAGATACCTTGTCGGCATAGTGTTCGACAAAATTCCTGGAGAACTTTGGTATGGTCCGCTAACAGAGACGACCCAGCAAACGCTAAGTCCACCATTATTCTCAAATCTTCCGGCGAATTTGCTCTGATTCAAGCTAACAACACTGAAGTTTCAATCTACGACGGCAACGACACTACCTCGGCTTTCATGTCTGACGATGGCAACTTTCAGCTGCTGAATTTCTCCTCCGATCCCATATGGCAGAGCTTCGATCATCCCACCGATACTCTATTGCCTGGACAGGTTTTTAAACTATTACTCAACTCAGAATTTTATATTCTATTTTGCTCCAAATTTATATGCATGTTTGGTTCCCACAATAATACATACACTATAAAAGTCATTGCATTGATACAACAATAAACAAATATAGGCTAAAGGATTTGTATCGATATATACTTTCATTCTTTCTTTAGCTTATATTTCTGCTTGTATTTTCTTTCTTCCGTTCTTTGTATTCATCTTGATCAAGTGTGTGTGTTGTTGTGCGATCCTAATAGCTATAAAAGTCATTCACTCAACTTAGCCATGTCAATAGAATCCTCAAATATTGAATAAAGAAGTTGTAAGTCTCGAAAGAATAGTCAAAAGTGACTAAGTGTCGAAAAAAGGAGTAGTCAAAAGTACACCATTTGTTCAAGGGCTCGAGAAAAGGAGTCGAGCCTCAATTAAGGGGAGGTTGTTCGAGGGCTCCATAGGCCTTAAGGGAAGCTCTATAGTGTACTTTATTCGAAGGGAGGATTCTTAGGATAACGTTCACATTAGCTAATTTAGAGAATGATAGAGAATGATGATGAATTTATAAGTAAAGAATACATATAAGAGGTTTTTTGGGAAGCAAATCTTATAATAGATTCGGGTATTCATGTTGGATGTAGCAGACGACAGCAATGTCCTCTTGACTTCTTTTCGAAAGGGTGATCCTGCTTATAAGTATTCGTGTTGAGATATGATTCAAAGTATTCATTTTAAAGTAGTTGAGATATGATTCAAATATTCAAACTACCAAAATTTGAGGATATTTCTGGTCCTGCGTATAAGCTTTAAATACTGTAATTAAAGCACTGCAACATTCATCTATTCTATCTATTCTATCTATTCTTATCTCTTTCAGTATCCTTTTTCCAACAGTTTTGGTATCAGAGTCAAATTCGTTCGACACGAGGGCGAGTGATTATTTTCTTTCACAATACAAAAATGACAGTAGCTGGCTTTTCTTCCTCGCACCGTTGTTACCGATCTTTAATGGTGAGAAATATGAGTGGTGGAGCATCAAGATGAAGACCTTGCTCAGATCGCAGGAGCTATGAGACTTGGTGGAGCACGGTTTGTTGATGTATTAGAATTCACAATAGAAGAAAAGGACAGACTAAGAGAAACCAAGAAAAACGATGTCAAGGCTTTATTCATTATTCAGCAAGTAGTTCATGAGACTATCTTCTCACGAATTGTAGCAGCAACCACATCAAAGCAGGTATGGTCAATTTTAGAGGAGTTTATAGGAGATTCAAAGGTCATGACATTGAAATTGCAATCTATAAAATGTGATTTTGAAACTCTACTCATGACGAATGGCGAATTAATTACTGATTTTTTGTCAAGACCAATGACACTAGTCAGTCAGATGCGTACCTCAGATGCGTACCTATGAAGAAAAAATTTCAAATGAAACAATTGTTGCAAAGGTGTTGAGAAGCTTGACTCCAAAGTTTGACCATGTGGTGGCTGCCATAGAAGAAGCTAAGGATCTATCCATACTCTCCGTTGATGAATTGATGGGCTCGCTTCAGGCCCATGAGGCAAGAATCAATAGAGCATCAGAAAGGAATGAAGAAAAGGCATTACAGGTGAGGGAGACAACCAACCACGAAAGAGAAAATATTCATTTAGCAGTAGAAGTCATGGAAGAGGAGGATTTCGCAGCTTCCATGGCGGTTGTGATAACGGGGGTAGATGGAGAAGTGATGGACAAAGACAATTCAATGAACAAAGGAATGTCATAAAATGTTATCATTGCAGAAGGTATGGGCACCCAAAATCTGATTGTTGGTATAAAAATCAACGAATGAATTTTGCAGTAGAGAATGAAGAAGAAGAAAAGTTGTTTATGGCGTGCATGGATACTAATCCAAGAAAGGGTGACTTATGGTTTGTTGATAGCGGATGCTCGAACCATACGACAGACACCAAATCTTTATTCAAAGAGCTTGATGAGACGCAAAAAAATTAAGATGCAACTTGGAAACACAAAAGAGATGCAAGTTGAGGAAAAATGTACGGTGAAAGTCGAAACCAGTCATGGTAAGATAAAACAATTAGATAATGTTCAATTTGTACCTGATTTAGGTATAATTTATTGAGTGTTGGACAACTGACAGAGGACACAGTTATATTTGATGACAACACATGTGTCATTACACCCAAGAAATCAGGCCATAAAGTTCACATTGTCATGATTCAAATAAGATGTTTTCACTCCATATTTCTAATATGGAGGATTTTGCTCTTCCTGCTAGCACGAAAGATGACTCAACATCATGTCATCTCAGACATGGACATCTTCATATAAGCGGCCTAAAAATATTCCGAAATAAAGGTATGGTTTTCAGATTACGAAGATTTGGGGAGCCATGATCGATCCTTGCCTTGTGAACACAGTTTGCGGCTTAAATGGTCTCTGCATATCATCCGACAACGACACAGTAACCTGTGATTGCTTGCCGGGCTTTGTTCATTTGGATCCGACCGATGCTATGAAAGGATGTCGGCCAAAAACAGTGGACAATTACCGTAGTGAAGATTATGGGAAGACATTCGAGATCCAGGTGATCAATGATGTCGATATCGGCTTCCCCCCTGCAGCAGGACAATTTTCAGTATTGGCTACTACAAACGACGTTGATGTTGAGGGATGCAAACAGGCAATTCTCGGGGATCGTTATGCCATGGCTGCAACTTTGAATGGCAGGACATGTCTTAGCAAAAGGACGCCATTAATGAATGCTAGAAATACTTCCAATACTAAAGGATTAAGAACTCTAATTAAAGTGCCTTCAGGAAACAGTCTGATGGGTTTAAACAACAAACCAAAAGACAAATCGAAATACCGAAAGTTCCTGGAGATCGGCAATATAATCGCTGGAGTTCTTGCTTTTTGCTTCGGAGTCGTTGCCCTCTTCTCTCATCCCATAACTGGAAGATTGTCGATAAGGAAGCAACTCTCAAGTGCAAGTGCCATCGGAATTAATTTCCGGGAATTTACTTACCAGGAATTAGATGATGCAACCAATGGATTCGACAGGATCCTCGGCCGGGGATCTTTTGGCAAAGTGTACGGCGGAAATTTACACATAGACGGTGTTGAGGTGGAAATTGCCGTGAAAGTGCTCGACAAAATGCATGAAAGAACTGAAAGTGAGTTCGTGACGGAGCTCACAATCATCGGCCGGACGTATCACAAGAATTTGGTCCGATTGTTAGGTTACTGCATCGAAAAGGAGAATCAATTTCTTCTAGTGTTCGAGCTAATGCCGAGGGGAGCACTATCAAGTTTCCTCTTCGGCAGTGGCGAAAAGCCGAATTGGGCACAGAGGGTCGAAATTGCGTTGGGAATAGCGAGAGGATTAGCGTACTTACACGAAGGGTGCGAGATGCAGATCATCCATTGCGACGTGAAGCCCAAAAACGTACTCCTCGACCCCAATTACACGACGAAAATCGCAGATTTTGGGATATCGAAGCTGTTGATGAAGAACCAAACGAGAACAAACACGGAGGCGAGAGGGACATTTGGGTACATGGCGCCGGAGTGGCTGAGGGGAGCTCCGGTGACGGCAAAGGTGGATGTATTCAGCTATGGGGTAATGCTGTTGGAGATAATTTGCCGTAGAAGGAACGTTGAGTTGGATCGAGTGGAAGAAGAAAGTGAGGAGGAGGACTTGGTTTTATCGAATTGGGTTCTGAGTTGCGCGGCGGCCGGTAAACTGGAGACGGTGGTGGGAGATGAGCCGGAAACATTAAGGGATTTGGACAGGTTTGAAAGGATGGCAATGGTGGGGCTTATGGTGCATTCATCCAGATGCGTCTCAAAGACCATCCATGAAGAAGGTGACCCAAATGTTAGAAGGCACGGCCGATGTTGGAACCCCTCCTCAGCTTCTGCGCGCCACAACCTCCTCCTCTTCTGCCTACTTCTGTGGACCGGGTCCATCCCTTAAAGTGAATAAGCTTCAACTTTTTTCGTCTTATTTTAAAGAAAATAGTCTTCCTTTTACGTTCTTTTCAATTCATTTTTAAATGTTCCCTGCTTGATTTATTATTGTTATAAAAACAAATAATGGTAGATAATAATTTGTGATTCTATATCCGTCTCAACTAAACCTTGTTTATAAGAGTGTGTAAACCTCTCTAACACACTCATTTTTAAACCATTAAACTAACGACAATATGTGACGGATTAAAGTGGACAATATTTACTAAAGATGGACTTAGACTCTTACAAATGGTATCAGAGTCAGACACTAGACAATGTGTTAGCGAGAGGGTTGAACTGTGAAGGGAAGTGGACATGAGGTGGTGTGCCAACAAGAAGGCTGAACCCTGAAGAGGGTGGACATGAGACGGTGTGTCAGCAAGGATGCTGGGCTCCGAAGGAGGTAAATTGGAAGATCCCACGTCAATTGGAGAAGGAAACAAATGCCAGCGATGACGTTGGGTCCCGAAGAGAGATGAATTGTGAGATCTCACATCGGCTGAAGAGGGGAACAAAACATTTTTTTTATAAGGGTGTGGAAACCTCTCTCTAATATATGCGTTTTAGAAACTTTGAGTAGAAGCCCAAAAGTTTAAGGGCTCAAAGAGGATAAGGGCGTGGAAACCTCTCCCTAAAATATGCGTTTTAAAATCTATAAGAGAAAGTTCAAAAGTGAAAACGTAAAAGAGGACAATATTTATTAGTGGTGAGTTTGAGCTTGAGGACATTTTCATTTACACGAAGACGAAAGTCCGAAAGTGAAAGCGTAAAAGAGGACAATATCTACGGATGGTAAACTTGAACTTGAGTTTGAGGACATTTTCATTTACACAATACGACACAGGTATCTAAACTCTTTCAAAGGGGGCTTAGATTCTTTTCCTATCACTTCTTTGGTATGTTTTAAGCAAGAGTTTTGTTGAAACTTGCAGGCCTCAGACACACTTTTTGTTCTGAATGCTGATGATTTTGACCAGAGAATCAAACAAAGAATCAAAGAGAGAACAAGATCTTCGATGGAAAAACAAAGAATCTGTCCCTTCTTGGTTCTTTTCATTTATTTCAAGTTCTCGAGATGAACGTAAACACCAAAATCTCTCCCTAACAAACACTTTTCCGGGTAATGAAAGAAATGGCTTAAAGCTAACTGATGAATATCATTTATAGGATATGTTTGGATGAACAAACATCAGAATTCAGCAGAACAGAGCATTATAACAATTAATATCATAAGAAAAGCATTAGAAATAGGAAATTTCTTACAAATCATACACTTGTTTTCCAGTGAACTTGACTTCAATGGGGCTCACATTCTTCCCTATGGACCTGAAGTTCTGCCCAACTCCTTCCCTGCCTGGATTCACCTTCTCTGGATAAACCCCATCTTTGGGATGCAAATACTGAACTTCCCCATTCGGAAACACCCTGTAAAATTGGTACTTAATCTTGTACTTGGATCTCAGCCTTGTCCCCAGAGCCAAACACTGCTCCTTCCTCGCCAATTTCAGCAGATTCGGGCCCTGTCGCATGATGGCTGCGCCTCCCGTTGGCATTTCGAAGATTTGCTCCTTCGGGGATTCCCATGTTATGACATAGAATTCCTCGACCTGGGCCTTCCGGAGTAGTCCCCCGGTGCTGCCGGCGAAGATTGGGGAAGGGGTACTTGGGTCGAGCTCTGGTGGGGAGAATCCGGCAGGAGCCTCCGTAGCCGCCGCCTCGGCCTCAGCTGAAACTTTGACTATTCGGGAAGATGCGGCAGGCTTGATGAGGGGCTTGGAGTTGATGAAGCAGAGAGTGGAGGATTGCTTCCATGGGATGGTAACGGCGGTGGATTTGGGGGTCGAGAGAGATGGGGTGAAGAGGGTTGCTTGAGCGGCCATGGCCATTGGAGCAGCAGAGGGAGACGAGAAATGGAGGATTGGAATTGGTGGATTGGGAATGGAGGATGATCAAGAACATTAAGAAGATTTTAATCGTTTTTTTTTTTGTGGGTGATGAGAATTTGGGTGTGGATAAGATGATCCTTGTTGGGCCAATTAGAATCCTTGATTTTGATACGCATACCTCTTCCACACCCTTTATTCATCCTCAATTAATTCCAACTCATTTTTCTCAAGTATAAAATTTAATTTTTTTTTTCTTTTCATCTAATTCGGTTGAATTCCCGAACGAACCCCGTTGTACCCTAGATTAGAGACAATGAGTATCCTCAACTGCTAGGCTAAGAACTACCTAAGGCCTCTAGAGACGTAGCAACCTAAGCTCACATACTTTTCCTTTTGGGCTTACATTTTAGAATGCGTTTATTAGGGAGAGGTTTCCACACTCATATAAGATATGTTTAGTTCTCCCTCTCCAATTAATACGTGATCTATCCACCTTCTTTAGGGGCCCAACGTCCTAGTTGGCAGCCGTCTGGTGTCTAGTTCTGATATCATTTGTATTAGTTAAATTACCTTAAGACTAACACGAAAGACTTAGCAACTAGGTTTGTTACAAATGAGCTAACGAACCTAAAAATAAAGGGAACCCAAAAGACCCAAGAACAACCTGTTATAAATAAAACTTAATTAATTGCAAACAGATTACTAATAAAAATACTTACTCAATAGATTATTTTACTCACTAAAATTATCTAATTTTCTTTCTAGATAAACGTAATGTGGCATGATCGAGACAATGATGCAAACGAGTTGTAGAGTTTAAGATACTGTAAGCAAATCGGATTCCCGATGAGCGGCCGTTACTATAAAAAGCCCTTACAAATTGCATTTTTACCAAGGAATAAGTAGTACCCTAAACAAGTATATATTGCCATGATTGGGCAACAAAATCAAAGGCAAGAGCAAACCAAATCAAACTTTCTCATACACATCATTCATAAATCTCTTCCAAAACCAATGTCGCTTCCAAACTCTCTCCGTCATTTCCTCGATCGGCACGCCCTTTGTCTCCGGGACCAAGAACACCACGAACACCGACATCATAAACACCCAACCAGAGAAGAACAAGAAGATACCGAACTTCATATGACACAACATCGACAAAAATGACTGCGCTATCACAAAAGTAAACACCATATTCACACAAACCGTGACACTCTGCCCAGCCGATCTCGCCTCCAATGGAAAAGTCTCACTCGGAATCAACCATCCCAATGGACCCCAAGACCACGCAAAAGACGAAACAAAAGTGCACACCATCAACACCACCACAATCGCCATCCCCCGCGACATGTTGTTCGTGTTGTCATCCAATTTCAACCCGAGCACCACTGCGATGATCATTTGAGATATGAACATTTGAACTCCAGCTTCGATCAACAGCACTCGTCGACCGAGCTTGTCGACCGAGTAAATCGACACCAATGTCGAGAGCACATTGACAGCGCCTGTTATCACCGAAGAATACAGAGACGCATCGCTGCCAAACCCCAACGTGCTGAATAAAACAGGAGCATAGAACATAATCGCATTGATTCCTGTGAATTGTTGGAAGATCTGCAACATTACGGCTATCACAAACGGCGGGCGATTCTGCCGCTTAAGGAGGCTTTTGAATGGATGCTTCACTGCTTGAGCAATGCGGCTTGCCTCGACGATCTCCATGTACTCTGGCTCGACATTGTTTGTGCCTCTAATTTTCTTCAGCACTGATTTTCCTTTCTCTAAATGGCCTCGTTCGATCAAGCTATTTGGAGTATCATCCACCAAGATTGCTCCAAGAGTTAATAGCAATGCTGGAACACCCGCCAGCCCCAGTGATACCCTCCAGCCCCATCCTCCTCCAATTCTGTCATACATTATGAATTTTTCTTAAAAAAATCTAAACTTGATCACAACCTAGAAGCTGAAAATGCCTATAAACTTCAAATCTTACTTGGATGTGCCATAATTGACGAGGTTTGCAAACAAAATACCGAGGGTTACATTGAATTGGAACAGTATATTCAAAGCTCCACGAATCCTCGTTGGAGCTATCTCTGATAAAAACAGAGGCACCGCCTAGTTTCAACGCCAAAATTACAAGATGTTAAAAATGAGAAACATAAGCAATCTCTAAGAGAAACCGAGCCACAACTTATTTTGAATCAAGAACCTCTAAAATGGTACGATATTGTCCACTTTAAGCATAAGCTCTCAGGATCTGCTTCCCTAAAAGGCTTCCTACCAAAAAAAATAGGATCATTCTCTCCCAACAATCCTCCCCTCAAACAAAGTACACCATAAAGTCTCTCATGAGGCCTATGGAACCCTCAAACAGGCTCCCCTTAATTAAGGCTAAACTCCTTCTCCAAGTCATCGAATAAAGTACAAGGAGTCCTCAAACAAAGTACACCCTTTGTTTGATAATTGAGCCACTTTTGACTACACATTCAGACTCACAACTTCTTGTTCGACATTTGAGTATTCTATTGACATGACTAACTTAAGGGCATGATTCTGATATCATATTAGAAATCACGAAACTCTACAATGGTATGATGTTGTCAGTTTGAGCTAAGCTCTCGTGACTTTGCTTTAAACTTAATAAGTGAAGTCTCGTACATGTATTCCTTAGTTATAAACTCAGGACCATTTCTAAGTTAGCTAATACAAACTCGCTGATTGAAAGTACAATATTTAAAGTTTAAATAGGATAGAAGCTACGAACTAATTCTTAATTATACAATAAAATATATTATATAAATATTTTTAATATCTAAAATCAAATTTTATAATAACGCAAGTTATGTATAAAACCAGTAGGGATTCAACGAGGAATGCAAGCAAACCTGGTTGGCAAATCCAACTCCACAACCGAGAGAGATTCTTCCAAGAATGAGCATAAGAAGGCTAACGGCAGTGGCGTTCAAAACAGTTCCGACAATGAAAAAAATCCCAGCAATGAGCATAGTATGTTTCCGACCAAGAACTGTGGTCGTGTAAGAAGCGAAAAACGTGGCAGTTAACGCCGCCAAATACAGAGAAGAAGTGAACAACTGTAAGCTTTCATTGTCGTATTTACAGTAATTGCTATCCTCCGCTTCGTGACTTTGAATCCTCTCGTAC